TCATGAACTTCCTATCATTCTTCTTGCATTCAGAAGTAAGAAAAAGTGGAGCTGTAACAAGATCACGTCACAGCTTTCTGTTTAAAGCCGTAAGCACCTAAACATCTAGGCACCTATTTGCCTCATCACCTTCTGAAGCCTTCTTTAAAGGTTTCCCGTCCGTGTCATTACACCTCTGAAGCATTTAAATGAAATGAAAGTTTATCCGTGTTTTGATGGAATTACTTGACATAAACACATTTCCTGTACATGAAGAAACAGAAATATTTCATGCATATTAACGAAGTTAATAGTATTTTTATAGTTGAGGTATTTTCTGCTATTAAGATAAGGGAGACTTGCCTGGAGCAGCTTGAACAGGTCTGACTTTTGTTGTTCTGTAATATTTTTACAATGTATTGAAGCACCATTAATGTGTTAATCAGGGACTTTTACAGCATCCTATGTCTGACTAAAAGAAATCTTGAAAGATGCATAGTTCCCTGAAAATTCTCGTGATGTTTCTGTGCCCTTTAGCCAACTTACGCGACTGACATACTTGCTCTGGATTGCAAATCCAAGTTTAAGAAGTTTTGCATTTAATACTTTTCCCTTCTTTTTCTTGTCTTTTCTGCCAAATGCAACATAGAGCAAACTCATTTTAAGGCAGTTTGTCCTCTTTCTTCTGGTATTCTGTTGTCATAATGATGAGGAGTGTCAGGAGGAAGCAATTAACAAGAAAACCTGTCTTTATATATGCTTTGAGTAAGCAGAAGTAGTGGTAAAGATGTAGAAGAAAAAGCACTACTGCATTCTGACTTAAGTCTCTGAGTATTGCATGTTTTTAACTCAAACTGGTACTAAAATTTGCGTTAAGCAGGAGAGAATCTGTAACTGGGCACTGTTTGAAGAGCCTGCCCTTAATTAGGAAGGCACTAATCAAATTTATAGTGAAGGGCCATCATTTAGGCCTGGCTGAGAATATCTCTGAAGGATTTATTCTATAGGATTATCAATTGTATTCTTCAGAAACAACTGTCATGTGAAACTAGCAGAGTTCAGAAGATATTTCTACATTTCTGTGTACTTCACCACTCCTGGCCATCATTTTTAGGGAGTTTCTTTTCAAGGAACGAAGCTTGGGATACAGAAAGAGCTATAGTTAGGTGATTAAATTGTGAGCCAGTAAATTCTGAAACTGTAGTTTAGATGGGGTGAGTTTGTAGAAAGGTGATCTCTGGCACCTATAATATTTGGCAACAGATTTCAAAAGGCAAATGTCCATCTTGCCACAGACAGTAACTTCATTGATGTTCTGAAGGAGATCAGGAGGTAGTTGCTGAACACTGTAAAAGACCTGTTGGAAAGCCAGTTGCAGTGTATAAAGATAATATAAGTTAATTCATTGCATCAGGACTGAATTTTATAATTTTTGAAGTGCACTACTTAAATTGCTTGTTGCTGTGGCTAGCTAATTGAATTTTTTTTTTTAGGAGAAACACTGTACATTATTATTTTAATAACCTGCTCTAGACTTATTTTCTGCTTTTGTGGCCAATGCCATTTTACCATTTTAAAGATTACTGCTTTTTTTCTTGGGAAGCTGATAGTCTGCTGTATGCTACCAGAAAGCTTTTCTGAAATTCGACTTCCTTAATTTATCCCGGTCCTCAGTAGTGTTCCCTGTATTGCATAAATAATATAAATGAATGATAAGAACAGTTCTCGATTTTCTCACAGGTATGTACACATGCAGAAAGAAATTGCAGTTAAAAGAATCAGTTGACTCTGCGTGAGATTTTGCAAGGTGGTTTCATTAGGTGGTCAGCGTCACCCCTTGAAATAAGTTTTGATCTTTGGAGCACAACTGTTTTCTGCCTTTTGAGAATACTTTTAAAAGGCATAGCTTGGGTTAGGGGTCGCAGTGGAGCAGCAAATAAGATGGGTGATGGACTGACAAGTTGCATAAATATACAGCACTGTCGTATACTATTAACAGATATTGTCAGTATGGAACCTAAAAGCGTAAGCGTTGATTTCACCTAGATGTTTTGTTTTGTTAGTGCATTTTGCTCTGTCTTCTGTAGTATTTCTTTTTGCAGTCGTAACTGTCTGTTTGTGAGGAAGTGTATCTGCTGCTCTAACTTAGTTCCGTTAGTCGTACATAGTAATTCTCCCAAAGGTAGGTAATTAAATGCCAGTTAGTTTCTATCATAAAAAAGGCTGTCAGCACAGGATTAAGGACTGCAGTGAGTTGATAGTACTGATCTGTAGCTTTTATTTTTTGCAGGGTTGAGGATGCTGATGCATCTGAGAAAAGTGTAAATGAAGAAAATGGAGAAGTATCAGAAGCAGACCAACCTCAGAACAAGCACAGCCGACACAAAAAAAAGAAACACAAACACCGCAGTAAACACAAGAAACATAAACACTCTTCAGAAGAAGATAAAGACAAAAAACATAAACACAGACACAAACATAAGAAACATAAACGGAAAGAGGTAGCTGATACCTCTGACAAAGAAGATGGACCAGCAAAAAGAACTAAAATTGATTTTTTAGCTCCTCTGGAAGACTTGGAGAAACAACGAGCATTATTGAAAGCTGAACTTGAAAACGAATTAATGGAAGGAAAAGTGCAGTCTGGGATGGGATTGATATTACAAGGTTACGAGTCAGGATCTGAAGAAGAGGGGGAGATTAATGAAAAAGTGCGAAATGGAACGAGACCTACAGCGAAGCCAAGCACTAAGGGGAAATTAGAACCTGTGGACAATAAAACTAGTTCCAAGAAAGGAAGTAAGAGTGAATCAAAAGAAAGGACTAGGCACAGATCTGACAAAAAGAAAGGCAAGATGGGAGTTGATGGAATCAAAGAGAAGACAACTAGAAGCAAGTCAAAAGAAAGGAGGAAATCCAAAAGCCCTTACAAGAGAAGTAAGTCTCAAGATCAAACAAGGAAATCTAGGTCTCCAATGCTTAAAAGACGATCTCAGGAGAAAAACAGAAAGTCTAAGTCTCCCCCAGAGGATAGAAATAAGGCTGATGATAAAAGTAAATCAAGAGATCGCAGAAAGTCTCCAGTTGTAAATGAAAACAAAAGCAGAGATCGTGGCAGAAAGTCTAAATCTCCAACAGAACTAAGAAGCAAATCCAAAGATAGAAGATCACGGTCCAAAGATAGAAAACCTAGGAGATCAGAGACTGACAAAGAAAAAAAGCCAATTAAATCTCCTTCTAAAGATGCTTCTTCAGGGAAAGAAAACAGGTCCCCTAGACGACCTGGCCGTAGCCCAAAAGGAAGAAGCTTATCTCCCAAACAACGAGAAAAATCAAGAAGAAGCAGATCCCCTCTCTTTAATGATCGTAGATCTAAACAGAGTAAATCCCCCTCTCGAACTCGGTCTCCAGTTAGAAGAGTGAGGAGTAGATCTGCAGAAAGGAAAAGAAGAGAATCAGAAAGGAGGCGTCTGTCTTCTCCCAGGTAACTTAAAGATGTCGTGAACTGTTGCAAAAATGCATTACTGTCTTCTAGTTCAGTGTCTGTCTCTTTTTTCTTCTGAAAATAGCTATTAAAAAAAGTAATTGGATTGTGCATTATATTACGAGCTTGCTTTGTATGTACTCAGTTTTTCAAAAATACTCCCCGCAGCTGTCAGACATGCAAATTCAGCTTTGGTTGTTAAAAGTGCCGTTATTTGCTGCTCGCACCGTTACTTGGATCAAGTTGTAGCTTTGTAGCTCAGGTTCTCCTTTTTGTCACTCAGTTGAATTCAGAATTTGGTTTCTGTTTTGCTTCTTAGTTAATGGTTCTGTTGCTTTCATGAATTTCTGTGGAGTGAGAGTCCACTCTTACATATCAGATAGAGTCTGCATGTGTGAATGTAAGCAAATCTTTTCTGTCAAGATGTCCTTCACGCTGTCATTTTTTCTTAAAAATAGTTTGTATTTTTCATTTGCTAGAGGGACAGTAGTGTTGCTTCGTTATTGGTCTCTTGTATATCATCACCATATTTTGTAAACATTTGAAGGAGAATGAAATATCTTAAATGTATTTTTAGTCTTGGCATTTTTTTAAAAAAACATTTTAGCCTATGAAAGCAGTGACCTTGAAATTTAATGTAAACCATGAGACCGTAATTACTAGCATCTCCTTCTCTGGAGCTGCTAAGGCCTGGATGGTAAGTTCCCAAGCAGAGAACAATCTCGGTGTATGCGTCCTTGGAAGTTAATTCATTAAATGTAAGAAGTTCAACAGGCAGAAGAGTTCAGCTTTCTTTTTGGATAATGAATAATTTAAAACTTTTTACCATGGGATTTAGCTTCACCCACTCCGAGAATTAAGAACAAAGAAGTATGAGTTTAAAACCGTATATTGGAACCACAAAGATGTAGCTCAGTAAATAAGCACCTAATAAATGTGAAAGTCTTTCTGCCTGTGTCACTGAAGGTTACTCTCGTTTCAAGTATGGAGTGTCTTCTGCAGGCACATTATTGGGTTATTTGTCCGTATGACTGCTGAGCAGTACTGCAGGTATTTGGAGGACAGTCCAGTGGTGGTAGCCAGATTAAGCGAGTATTGTAAATGCTGGCGGTGTATCTGTCTGGTTTTTGGTGAGCCAGGAATGTATCGGCACACCCACTAAGTTTCTCTGAGATAGTATTTGACTTCCGCGGCGTTTTGCATCTTTCAGTTTTCATTTCTCTAACACCTTGCATTGCGGCCAATTTGAATTAGTTATGTAGACACTGATTCAAGTGATGCACATGCCTAGAATTTTGCTATCAGATTCATAGTTCTGTAACACTGTGGTGAGCAGCGTGTGACGGGGGGACTAGTAAGAAATATTTTCTGCTGAAAGTGTTTGCAAATCAGCA